AAAAAAAAAAAAAAAAAAAAAACTCATACACCTCAATAATAAATAATAATAATCCAATTTTAAGACATCCAAATAATATGGATGGACATTTCTCCAAAGAAAACATTCAAATGGCCAACAGGTACAAGAAAAGATACTGAACATCACTAATCATCAAGAAAACGCAAATCAATACCACAGTATCACCTCACACTTGATAGAAAGGCTATTATCAAAAAGATAAGAGTTAACAACAGCTGGCAAGGATGTAGACAAATAGGAACCCTTGTGCACTACTGGTGGGAATGTAAATTGGTACTGCCACCATGAATAACAGTATAGAGGTTCCTCAAAAAATTAAAAATAGAACTATTATATGATCCAGCAATTCCATTTCTGGGTTTATCTCCAAAGGAGATGAAATCACTACCTCAAAGAGGTATGTGAAAACTCATTTTCATTGCAGCATTATCTACAATAGCCAAACATGGAAACAACCCAACTGTTCTTCAACAAATGAATGAAGAAAATGTGATACGTTTATTAAACAATGGGATGTTACTCAGCTATTAAAAATAAGGAAAACCTGCCATTAGCAACAACATGGATGGATCTTGAGGGCATTATGCTAAGTGAAAATAAGTGAGTCAGAGAAACAAAAATACTGTATGATCTCACTTATATGTGGAATCTAAAATAAACAAACAAAATCTGAAAAAAAAACAACTTCATAGAAACTAAGAAAATATTGTTGATCACCAGAGGGTGAGATTTGTGGGAAGTGGGGGAAAAGGGTGAAGGTGGTCTAAAGTTATAAACTTATAGTTATAAAATAAATAAATTCTGGGGGTGTAATGTACAGCATGGTGACTGTAGTTATCAATTGTGTATCGTATATCTCAACAGCGTTAAGAAAATAGAACTTAAAAGTTCTCATTACAAGAAAAAATCTGTAATTATGTAAAACGAGGGATGTTAACTAAAACTGTTGTAAACATTTCACAATATATACATATATCAAATAATTGTGCTGTGCATCTTAAACTTACACAATGTTATATGGCAATTATATCAGTAAAACCGTGGGGGAAAAATCAGATAAGTAGCTTGTCTGAGACATGTAACAGCTAAAATTCAAATATAAGCCTGCCAAATTTCAAATTCCCTCCTGTTTCCATACCAAGCTGCCTCCCCAGAATAAATATGTATCAAATATCCTAGCTATAGACAAATGCAGATAAGAAATAAGAGTAAGATAGGCAATCATCTGACATGAGATATAAAGTAATACAACACATATATTCAAAGATATGGCTGGTATTCATCATCCTGTGTATGGAACTGTTTGTTTAAAACCTGTTTCTCTCCTTTATTCTTTGGAAATCTAAGGCTAGGCTTCTTGTCCATCCACTGGCCCAAACTGGTTATTTCACCGTTGTTGTTTACAAGTTCTGTTTTTCATCCAACTGCTGCTCTGTGGCAAAACATGTCTCCTTGTTGGTCTTGCCGTGGTTTTTAAATTCTACTGCTCAGGTTCTCCAAGCTGATTCTTCTCTCTGTCCTTCTCCTCGGTGGCTT